TCTCCGTTTTGTCTTTCATTTCTCTGTTCTTGGTGCCCTCTGGCCTCGTGGCCACCTCCCTCGATCATTCTCTGCAAAGGAGTCATCACTCCGCAGCCCCTCTGTTCATGCGCTTTCACCCTTCCTGACAGCCCCCCACCCACAAAGCCAAAAATCCCACCCATCCTTCAAGTCTCACTTCAAATTGCCCATCTTCCCAGAAGCCTTCCTTGAAAGGTAAGTCTCTTGGTCCAAAAAGCACGCACACAACTGTAATCCCAGCACTTTTATATGTTGACTGGGATGTGTTTGTATGTGTTGTTGGCAGTTTCCACCTGTATGTTTTGGTACAGTTGAGTGTTGCTGAATTATTGTCATGCACTTGCCCGACTATATGACTTGTGTGGTAGTTTGATGTCTTGTTTGAATCCTCTCGCAGTTTTTTCTTAAGGTAGGATTTTGTTGTCTGTGTACTTCCAAATCGGCTATTTTTTGTAATATTAAATATTCAGTAAGATTTTTAAAATACTTTTGTCATGTGTCGCCAAACATTGTTGTGTCTCTCTACAATTTTGACTTTCTTCTTTGTGTGGCATAATCTGTTGGAATTGTGTCCTGATATCCACAGTCCAAGCCTTTTGTGGTTGCTATTCTTTTGCCTGAGGGCTGTGTGTGTTTTTTTGCACACGATAAGTATCCTTAGGTGTCTTTTTTTATTGTTTTGGAACTAGAAGTGGGGAGTTTTACGTGTTGTGTGTGTTGTTTGTGTTTGTTTCTGTTGATCGTAGCGCGCCTCAGTTTGTTCCAAGAAGGGGCGAATATCTTTCCTCATTATTCTCTGCCACGAATTGCGACGTGAGTGGATAGTTGGCTGACCTGAGCGAGATTCGTCTGAAAAAAAAAGGTTATGGATTAATAAATACGTGCTCTATTCACGTTATTTGAAATGATAAGCAAGCATGGATGTACCTCAGCAGTGACGTGGTTCCCATGCCGCATGTTCACTTCCCATTACTCATATACTTCGACTATATTGGTTAGATTGAGCAGTGTTTTGGAGCCCATGCAGCGGATGAGTTTTTCCGGTCTGAGGATGTGTCTCTTCAGTCGAGGGAAGAGCCCTCTTACATGACATACTACTTGAGAATGGAAGCTACTGCTAGGAGGTTGCTTTGTCCTTTTGGATTCGGCTTCGTTGTTAGGTGTCATGCCAATCGCCTGGATTACGTTTAGTCAATGTTGGGGAATTTCGCGAATGTGTGAGATACACCCCAGCCTACTCGCACATTCCCTCTACACGGGATGAAAGGCGGGAACCATAACATTGTAGTCTTCCTCCACCATTGTGTATGGGAAATACATTTCCTCTTTGGTATCTGCATATGTGCATGCTTGGACATACCTACGTGTGTTGTCCACAGTATTTCTTTATTCTATCATGTGTGATTTTCTGCAATTTTTGATAGTTCACTCAAAGTGCGCGCTATTAGGGACTCACAACAATTCCTCATTTGTTTTGTGTTGGGTAGTCTTACAGTGACACAGGGACTTTGGTATCGAAGAAGTATTGATGTTGGGCCTCAATAAAAGTGATGCATGGTCTGTAACGGAGGAATTTAACCCCTGCATTGTCTCTTATGTGGACTTAACGGAATAGTTTCGCCTCAGAAAAGCCGACAGATACAATCTAGTTCTGCAACTATGGGCGGTGAGACACGGTCGCACCTCCTCTTGTTTACCCTTCCTGGCTGAGAATGTGGCACGTCTAGGTGAGAACGTCCATCCGGATCTCTGCGCACTCTTCTCTATTTGCTTGACCTACTTATATACGCGCTATTAATTATTGCACTGCGACTTTCTCTCAAGAGCATTTGAACGTGCAGTTAGGTGCTCTATTCGCGAGCACTGGAGGATTCACCTTCTTCTATATGTTCTGGGTATGGAGTCTCCTCCGCCCCACCGCGATGTTAGTCACATGTATCGTCTCTACAAGACTTTAGATGTGACAATGGGATTCATATTAATACACATTTCCTTGTAACGGACTTATTTGTTTGTAATGTTTTAGTTTTGGATGGGTCTATAGAGGTGAACATGATCGTTTATTTATATAGTATGCGTCTGATGGTAGATTTTTGTACTTATATTGGCGGTTGGTTTGTCTGAATGTGTGTCTGGAACGAATACTCTGGAACCGATACAGACGTCGAGTAATAAAACTTCCGTAGGGCCCTGGGATGCCTCTGTTGAAATTATTTAATTTTTGTGTTGTTTGTTGTTATTTTTATTATTTTTATTTTTGTCATTTCTATTTTTGATTTTCGGGCCATGTCTTTCTTTGGCTCTCTCATTTGTCCCATTGCTAAGCCAGGGGCTCAGGGCCAGATAATACAATATACATTTGTATTGCTCACGCATAGCCATTGTGTCTCACAGACAGATTGTAAACTAGGCTCATGCATAGCGTTCTGAAGAGAAAGATTCGATTTGTGTTCCTGAATCATTTGCTTGGTGCAGGTCCAGGGGTTTTTCTCGATTGTCCCCTCCACTCTGCAATAGAAACTTCTCCTTTCCGAGTTACCATGCTATTAACTTGATCCCTTCTGATAGTCTTTTATTGTCTTGCCTGTGTCCGCTAGCCTGTTATAGATGAAATAGTCATGTTTGGGCTTGCTGTGCATTCTATTCCTCAGGTTCTTTCTCTGTCCAATTGATTGCATGTGTTAGGTACAGCAAGTGTTCAAATTTATATGAGATCTTTACTCCACGCTTTCGTGGTGTGGTCGATGTGTCATCTTACAAGTGCTGTCGATGAAAGGCTCTCTTGGCCCCCATGCTCTCACCACAACTCCGCGCATTGTAAACTGTAATCCCTATGTTCGCAGATTTCTGTGTATCGTGTGCTTTATCTCTGGCCTCTCTCTTTAGTGTTCCCCTAAGAAAAACGAAACTCATTGATATATTTTAGCATTCACTTCCCTCGTTTATTCGCATGACCCGTTTGCAGAGGTCTCCGTACGGATTCAGGAGACAGTGGTTATTCAGTTGGCGATAGTGATGAAGTTGTGCGTACTTCTGCAGTGATGTCTGTCCTAGACTCTTCTGCAGGCGAGTCTCTCTCTTAGGAAGTCTAATCCGACTCATTCCTAGTACTCCTGATTGCTTGCAACCTTGTGGCGTCTCACGGAGGAAGAACGCAGTCACCAAACTGTGGTCGTCTCCGTAAGTTTCGTCGCTTCGCTCTCGCTACCAACAATATTGAACTGACATTGGGAGATTGGCTTTTACTAAACACCTTCCCCTGTTTCACAGGGTGGGGTGAGGATGTTTAATGTCTTGGGAAGATATAAGTGGTAGATTGTAGGAGGGTCGCGCCTGTGAGAGAAATCCGCGATAATTTGTGTTCCTAATTTGGGGCAACAGAACATATTTGGTATGGGGGTGAGAGAGACGTTCTCTGTAGGATGTCTATTAGGTCTGGGTAATTGCTGGGGCTGAGAGCAGTGTGAGATGCAGAGAACCATTTCTCAACTGCGCTGTAGTCCGGCTTGTTTCAGTCTGCTGGTGGCTCAGGTTGCATGAGTAACAATGCTCTTAATATGGTGACGAGGAGGTCGTGTTGGGATTTAGCGCTGTTGGAGAGATAATCTGCGGGCACAAAAAGATATTACGGATAGTAGGGAGGTTGGATATGATAGAGAGCGTTTGGGAAAGTCATGGATCTATGTACTACTGGTTGCTACCCAGGGATCTTCGTAAGGACGGTTGCTTATGGGTAGAAGCTACAATCGAGGGAGACTGCTGTGCCGAGTGCTTCTTGTGCACGGCATCTGCGCTAGTTGTTCAAGGTATTCTCAGCTCCTTCTAGCTGTGAGTAAGTGAAGCTCTTCCTGGCTCTCTCGAAACTCTGATACGCGCGCGTATTTAACACACAATTACATGGCTCAATTGTGTTCTGACGTATATCTCTGTATGTCTCTTTTTGTCTCTTCGACATGGATTTATAGACTGCTCTCCCTCGCATGTTTATCGCTGTGCAGACCTTTTGGGATGTAGCAACTCTCTCCCCACATGCTTTGGTCTTTTGTTTTCCATGATGTGGACATCATAGGAGTGTAAAGAAATGCATTCATGTTGCCTGATGCCTTTATTTTGAGCCCTATGCATGTGAGATAGATCTCCTGAACTACAGCAAACTGATGGGTTGTGTTGGCGATGCTTGTGTCGTGTAGGAGTTGTTGTTGTGGGCTTGTGT